GACGATGGTAGCTTCAGGATTCTCCACCTGGGACGGGGTAATCCTGGTTATACGTACAAATTGGGGAATGGGAGGCTGGAGGGCAACCTTGCAGAGAGAGATCTGGGGGTTTGGGTTGATGGCAAGTAGAGTAGGAGTCCACAAGTGTGCTCTGGCAGCCAAAAGGGCCAGCTGTGCCCTGGGGTGCATCAAGGCCAGCGTTGCTAGCTGGTCAGGGGAGGTGATTGTCCCACTCTGCACTGCCCTGGTGTGGCCCCCCCTTAAGCACTCTGTGCAGTTCTGGGTACCTCGGTATAAAGAGGACATCAAACTACTGGAGTGTGTCCGGAGAGGTGTAACCAGGATGGTGAAAGGCCTAGAGGGCAAGATTTACAAGGAGCAGCTGAGGTCATTTGGTTTGTTCAGCTTGGAGAAGAGGAAGCGGAGGGGTGACCTCCCCGCAGATCACAACTTCCTCAAGGCAGGCAGCAGAAGGGGAGGTGCTGATCTCTCTGGCGACCAGCGACAGGACATGAGGAGATGGAATGAAGCTGCGTGAGGGGCAGGTCAGACTGGACATTAGGAAAAGGCTTTTCAGTCATGGGAACAGGTTCCCCAGGGAAGTGGCCATGGCACCAAGCCTGTCGGAGTTCGAGGAGCGTCCGGACAATGCTCTCAGTCACATTGTTTAGTTTTAGGTAGTCCTGCATGGAACAGGGGGTCGGACCCGATGGTCCTCATGGGTCCCTTTCCCTTCCAACTTGAGATCTTCCGATTCACCAGTGGAGCGTGGGCTTTGCTTGAGTTTCTGGGTGAGCCACCTGTGGGAGGAGTTGAGCAGATGCTGCAGCACTAGGGAGGACAGATGGGAGATGAACCGGTTATTTGCAGAGATGCTGCAGCACAACAGCCCAAACCCCACATGACTCAGGAGATGATAAAAAAGTTGCCTTCCCTTGTCAGGGGCAGTGTTGAAGATGGAAGTTTTTCTTTCTTTTAGCAGCAAAAAGCCTTCCTCTGCATGCAGATGTTTGGATGGAGAACAACTGCCAGGCTCTGGCAACACAAGAGGAGCAGTCAGTTCTGACAGTGGCAAATTTTGGGCTGATTGTGCCTGGTCTGTCGTATGACCCAGTGCCACCAAGAAGAAGCAGCTGGTGACAGTGGCTGGAGACTTCCTTCAATGAAGGATTGAAGTACCCATCCACTGAGCAGACTTGCTGTCTTGGGAAGTTTGCTTGCTGGGACACTGGATCCAAGGAGCTCTCTAGTCCAACTTTCCCCTCAAAGCAGGGTCAGCTTGAGGTTAGACCACATTGCTGAGGCTTTATCCGGTCAGGTCTTGATGAAAACCTCTGAGGATGGAAATAGCACAGCCTGTTCCAGGTCTTGACTGTCGTCATCATGAAAATATTATTCCTTGTACTCACTTGGCACCTCTCTTGTTTCAACTTCTGCCTGGTGTCATCCTTCTGTTAGGCGCCATAGTGAAGAGTCTGGCTCCATTTTTTTGACCTTCTCATAGGTACTGGAAGGCTGCTATGTCTTACCCTTGGCCTTCTTTTCCTCTCAGCTTTTTTTCAGCTGCTAGGCTGAAGTCCTCTATCTCATAACTTTGCCTTCCACGGGAAGTGGTCTAGTCCTCTGAACATCCTGGGAGCCCACTGCTAATATCCTCCCCCTGCCCCGATTCATCAGCATTGCCCCTATCCGAAAGGTGACCTTGAGCAGATAAAAGGTCAGTGCCAGGACTTGAGAGCAAGTTTCAGAGGCCTGGGGGTTCAGGTGGTCTCCTAGGTCCTGCTGGTGAAGGCTTAGGCAGGAGGCAGGTGTTGCACTGAGCATCAGCTTCTGCCTGCAGTCAGTATTTATAGACAGGGTGGGGTTTTCATGCCATGGGACTCTTTAAGGAATGAGGATGGACTGGCGAGCGATGGGATCCATCTGATAAAGATGGTCAAAAGCATCATTGCTAGCAGTGTGGAGGGCTTTAAACTAGGCTTGTTGTGGGATGGAGACTGAAAACCTGAAGTGTAGGATGAGGAGAGACACTTGAGTCTGTGACAAGGGAGCCTCTTCCACTTCTCTGCACCTCCTCGGCACAACCATGGGCCCGCCTGAAGTGCTCGTGTGTAAATGCGCTCAGCATGGGACTTAAGTAATTAGAGCTCTGCAATTTTGATACCAAGACCTTAGTTCCCTCTTGATCAGCTCTCGTTATGTGCAGAGTCTCGGTGTTGGTGAGGTTAAACTCACAGAGGGGTGGATGACTGGGTGCTCTAAGGTGAAAAGAGAGATGTGGAAAATGAAAAGCAGTTTGCCTTCAGTGCTAAAGAACAGCTTTAGGAGCATGCAGAGCTGTGCTGTGTAACTGGTGATGACTCAACTGGGAGCTTATCCGTTAAGTTTGGAGGGGAAGGTGATGAAGGGGGCATCGTGGTGGGTGTTTGCTGCAGATCCGCTGATCAAGATGAGGAAATGGATGTACCTTCTTCAGACAACTGTAAAAAGCCTTGTGAATGGAGAATTGGTTCTGACTTTGCCCTGGCGTCTGCTGGAAGCACAAGGTTGGTTACGTAGGGAACAATGTAGGACATTTCTGGAGTTGCTTGAGGACAACTTTCTGAGCCAGGTGCTGGACAAACCGGCTAGAGGAGGTTTAGCAGCATGAAGAGAGCTGATTGGGAATACGAACAGCAGTGTGCAGTGGTTTCAGTGACTGTGAAATCAGGGTTTAAGATCCTATGGGAAATGAAGAAAGTGAGTAGAAGGCTAAAAATGCCTGGCTTTGGCTTTTTTCAGAGAACTGATACGTGGGATCCTACAGGAATCTTTCCTGTAGAGCAGAGAAACCCAGGGGAGCCGGTTGATCTTCAAGAGCAACCTTCCTGGAGCACAGGAGTGGCCCATCATGGCTTGCAGGAAGGCAAGCAGGTGTGGCGGGAGGCCAGACCGATCATCTTGCTGAGCACAACTGCAGGAAAAAGTCCTATGGAAGGAAGATGTGGGGGCAGGTTACTTGGGAGCAATACATAGAAGCATCCTGTGGGCATGCAAGGATATTATTAGAAAAGCTTTTATTTCTTTCTGCTCTTAATGATGAGATTCTCTGGTCGAACACAGTATTAGCTTGCATTGTGGTTGTGCCTAGTGAAAAATTAATGAAATGTGTTGTTGCCGCTCTGGGTATGAGCGGGATGGGACTTGTCAAGAGCATGTCCATGTAGTGAAAGTCAAGAGGAAAACACAGTGCCCAAGAGGAAAAATGTACACTTACATTTTTGTGAGAAAAATGGCAAATGCCTTAAAGATCCTTGTTAATGGAACGATAGCACTACTTTATTTTTCTCCTAATCTGTTTTGCTAGCTGCAATGAAAAAGTTGACACCACAGATGGAAACTGAGATAACCTTAACTCTTCTTGCCCTCCATGGGCTTTCAGCACACTGTGCAGAACGAGCTTTCACATTTTGTTCCAAATGAGTAGTATGAAAGTATACTCACTCTTTGGCAGTGCTGAGCGAACACGAATTAGGAGCTGATACAAATCTAAAAACTGCAGTGGTCTGACTTAAATAACTCTTCAATCACCTTTATTTTGTATCCTTTTGCTGTGGGCATCCTTAGGTGCAATACAGCCAGAAGTGAAGTGGAATGAGTCATGGAGGCTGAAACCAGAGTGAGTGTAAACAAATCCCACTTAACTCTGTTTTAAACTCACTTTTTTTATTTTTTCCTACACATGCTACCCTGCTGTTCAGGAAGTCACTAAAGCTGAAATGCTGTGCTGGTGTTCTGTGCTGGGCTTCAGAGAAAGCTTCACTGCAGCCAGCCATCCTTGGCAAAGTCACATACCAGGTTTGGAAGTGGCTTAATTGCTGTGAAAGGCTTTCAACATAACAAGAGGCTTAACATGATGAAGATATCAGCTAGAAAGATGGTGCTAAATGGGGTTTCTTTAAGCACAGTGATACGGCAGCTCAGCAAGGTCTTTTCAAAGTCCCTTCCACAAAGAGCTAAATCTGCAGTCATCAGGACAGTTTAGGTGTTCCTGGAGGGAATAAGCTACAGGGGTTTAGAAGAAGCCATGTATTCTGCACAGCTCTTGAACAGAGAAATTTTAAAAACTGGTAATTTCCTTTTGCAAAGTCGCTTGCAGGTTTTTATACTTAACATACTGATGATTTGTTTTCTGGTTGAAGGCCTAAGTCAGAACTGAAGGGCTGATGTGCTGGGCATGGGTCAAAAGTAGATGATTAAGAAGGAAGTGAGGCATTTCCTGCCCATCCCCCTAGCACAAGTATTGCTTAAAATATCCAAATGACGTGCAGTAACTGGCATCTTCCTTCAGAAGTCTTAAGCATCTCTTTGTCTGCTATTATGAATTACAGTTTTGCATTTTAGCCCTCTTGAAAGGGAGGTGAGTGGTGGCTGGGCTGTGCTTAGTGTGGGCTGGGGAAGGGGCGGGAGTGTATGTGACAATTTAGGAAGCATTTTTGTGGACCATATTTACAAACTTTGAGCCTGAACTGTGTGCAGATCTTTTTTTCAGAGAACTCTAATAGTGTTAAACCCCAAATTTTCCCTAAACTACTTTAATACTTGAAACAACTACTGATCAGTTGTGTTATAACTTTGCAAACTTTAAGGATTTGGTCTTTGGAAGTTTTGTATCTGAGGTACCTCAACGGTTCCTGAAGCATTCCCAGGTGAAGCTGATGCTCTTGAAACTACCATGTTACTGTGGAGCATTTAATTCTCCAAAAAAGTGTTATCTAGGCTCAAGGCATTTGAAATAAAATTTGGCAATTGCACTAAAGACTTTTAGCTGGTCTTCTGGAGCCTCTTTGCTCCTGGTATTCTTCAGATAAAAGGGGTGATAATGAGATGTGAGAAGGCCTGTAGTTATTCTTCAGTTGTGTTCTTGGAGAAGTCCAAACCATTAAATGTAGTTTTTTGTGCAGATGTTAAAATGAATATGCAAATGAGTAACTTCCTCTCAATCTACTTTTGCTTACCAGGTCCTGGAGAAATACCCTAATACACCTATGAGCCATAAAGAGATACTTCAAGTTATCCAGAAAGAAGGACTTAAAGAAATCAGGTGAGTTGAGTACCCATGCCAGTAAAACACACGCATACTTTGGTTCCAACTTAGTTTAGTTTACTGTTAACCCCCATTTCATAAATATTTTTGGGACTGAAATCTTACAGACCTGCAGAACTGGAGTCTAGGTCCCATTTTCAAACAAACTCTCAAGTAACTGGTACTTTCCCAAAGAAGGCTAGGTAAGGGTCAGACTTAATTGTCAGGTATGAGCTGCATCTGCATGCCTCTTGTCTGCGGCTCTGGCAGGAGATGAACTAGACTTGATCAGGTCATTCAGATGCCAGGTACTGAAGTAAACTGAACTACTTTTTTTTTTTTCCACCTTTTTCAAAAAAGTGAACAGTCAGTTTAATGGATACGACCTAAATCAAAACTTAAAGCTATCCAGGAAGTAAAAAAGCAGCTTCACTTACAAATGCTTACTTAGAGAACTTCATGCTTCATGTGATTTTCTTCAGTATTATCTGGAGTTGTGTGTGGTTCTGCTTTAGAGATCTTTCTGTTCCTCCCAGGGAACAGACTGAGTGTTTGGTGTGCTGTGCAAAGGAGGCACCAACTCGACTGATAACTGATCTGCTTTAGAAACAGAGCAACTTCGGTGGCAACTCTTGAACTGCTCTCACCATAGTTTAATTCTCGAGTCCTTGCTCCTATGTATTTCCCAGGGATGGACAGGTGTATCTGCTGAGGTAGGGAACAATGGTCCATATGAAGTACAAATACTCTTTTCTAAGAGCAAAGAAAAAGGGAGGGGAAAAGGAGGATTGAACGTGCCAGTTCATCTATTTTGGAATTAAATAGGCATCCTGAATTTGACTGACTTACGTTTCCCACTCCACTTTGACAGTTTAATGCAGCAATCCATCTGCTTTGTGTGAAATACGGAAAGGCCCAAGTGTAGAAATTCTGATATCAGTAACAACATCTTCCACTTAAATTGTGGACAGCGTAAAGGCTGTTTGCTTTTTGGAAGTGTGAGTTTATCTAAAAGTAAGGAAACCAGATATACTCATTTAGCTCTTAGGTGACAAAAGTACAGTTTAGTTCCTGCCCTGACTGTACATCAGATTAAAGGATTACCAGTTTTAGGGCAGCTTCAGTATTGTGTTAAATACTGTTAATCCATCAAAGGCATATTCATAAACAATGGCCGCACTTGGCAGCCCCTTATGTGCACCCAAGGACAGAAAAGCAGTTGTCTGTACTGGTGGTCTTGCTGATGGCAAAGAACAAGTCCAGCAAACATCTGGGTACTTAGATGTGGTGAACCTTTTTAGCAATTCAGAGTGTTCTTTTTGGGGGAGAGCCTTAGGCAGGAGCTCAGTTGTGGAGTGAAAGAGCCAGTCTCTGGCTGGCCAGGCCAGATTTTGGACCAAGTATTCAAAAAAAAAAAAAAAAAAAAAAAAAAAAAAAAAAAGGGGCGACAGAACAGAAATACCATGGTGCCATATAATCCTTCTCAACCTCAAGTCCTTCTTTTAGAGTTGATTTGGGGATTTAGCCTGAGCTGATGGCAAGTTGTTTTCCTCTCTGAAAGTGCTGCTGCTGAGCATCAAGACAGTGCAAACTCTTCAGTATTTTAAATCCCAAAAGATGTTTGTGGGAGTGATCAGATGTCAAACTCAGTTTCTCTAGTTCAATTCTCCACCTTACTGATTTAGCCACGCTTTGACACTGTGTAATGGTCCTTCCCCTTAAATGTTAGATTGATGTAATAAAGCTGTATTTAGCTGAAGGCCTAAAAGGCTGTTAGTTCTTAAGCAGTTCAATTCCAGTTAGTGCCAGTAACGTGTGTGTGTCTGGACTGGGCTTCTGATATGTCATGGCCTGTGACAAGATGGGCTTAACAGAAATCAGCACTTATTAGAGGAAAAATCATGTTAGAGAAGGTGTAAAAGCTGTCAGATGAGCAAGTTGAGCTCACCAGATTTTGAGTCCCCTTATGTGGAGGTTCTGGCAGGAAACCATGGCAAAACCTTTGACAGCAGATTACAGCAATTTCCCTGTACTTGGTTGCCTTGAGACAGCAGGCAGCTGCACGACTCTCAGGTTGGTGGAATGCTGTCTAAGGTTCTAGGCAGGACGTGGGCTTTCCGGCTAGCATGTGCATCAAGGCATTTTGGGGGGGGTTTAAATTGTTTCTCAAGGCAATTTGCTTTCAATAAACAAAATTGCAAATTGTTTTGATAGTAAATTGTTTCTACAAACCACAGTCCTTAAACTCAGTCAGTTTTGACTGCAATGTGTGTGTAGTGATGTTTTGTTCGGCTTTTTTTTTTCTCCCCCCCTTAAATTCAGCACCTGTTGCCTCAGATTGTTAGCTATCTCTTTCTGGAAATCAGAGATTTAAATAAATTAGAAAATACTTTTAGATGTGACTAATGACTTTTCTAGAGATGCACTGGAAAAGGTGGAGAGAGTGGGGAGCCCATCTAGTGTTCAGCAGTCACTTTTCTGTTTGGCCACACAGCCAGTCCACCTCCCTTTTGCTGTAATGATTCCTGGCATGTGCTGCCCCTCGACCAGCTGCTCGGCAGGAGGCTTCAGGGCAGGTTGGAAGAGTTTACAGGACTCAAAGCACTGGTACTGTTGTAGAGGATTTGGAATTGCAGGGAAGAAGGGTGACAGTTGGGATGAGCGTGGGGAAAAACCCAGGAACAGTGATTTCTGCTACGCGCAGGACGATTTGACTGTTTTGGACAAGGTCAGGTCTTTCGTAAGACGGAGGGGTTTTTGTAGCAATACAGAAATCTGGGGTTATAGTGCTGATTATCTTACCTCTATTTATAATTTTATCCTTGTGGTTAAGTAATTTTAATCAGGAGATTTTTAAAGGTCAACCCAGGATCAGTATGCTGAGGTGTCAGCTTTAGAGACCTAGGGCATCCTGAAGCTAGAACTGTACTCTGTGTGATCTGTCATCCCAATTTTCTCAATTTTTGCCTGTTTTGACAGGCTGCCTGAATCCTATGAGATCCTTTCCTACCTACAGGTCACTGCTTGCAAACTGTGAAAATAAAATACGTGTGGATAAGCATTCGATGAATTGGCAGTGTAACCTTACCTGCCTCTTAAGATTTGTCCAACTTCCTATATTGCCTTATCTCTGTTGGCAACATATCGTGGGGAAGCCTGAGCATGCTTATACCTTCAGATGAGGCTTTAGGGATGCCTGGGGTAATGGTGTTAACCCCAGCAACACCAGCTGTGAAAGTTCCCTGAACTTGAATGCATGGGGTGGATGGGGCACCAAGAGTTAGCAAGAGAATCACATTTGTTTAATAAGTAGCTTTTTAATTTAAAATTGTTAACTTGCTGTGTTTCACCGATCTCCTTGGGTATATTAAAATCCGTGTAAGAGTATCTGAAGAGTTAGCATCTTTGAAATGTATCTTTGGTAGCCTTTTCTCTTCATAGCCACATATGTTTTGTTTTTCTTGGATTTTATAGGGGACACTGTGTAAAATTCCAGCTTGCGAATTTCTGTCCAGATGCAGTGACTTTTTTTTTTGCCCAAATACTAATTAAGCAAGGAAGTACATCTAAGCAATAGCTCAATCTCAGCGAAAATGAAAATGGACGTGCTGCTCTGGCCACTCTTATTTTCATGTATTCATGAAATTCCTAACATAAACCAAAACAACTCTTAAACCACTGTGGGGGAGGAAAAAAGAAAAACGGTATAGAAGCCGAAGTCCCCTTTTTGCTAGTCACATCTGGACTGAAGAGAAGTGTGTCATGAACACTTTGCTTTCAAGTTTTACCTGCCCTCTAGGCAGTGGCTAATTTATGCTTCTCATTGGCAAGTCTGTCCTTCCTGATTTTTTGAGCTGGATGCTCAGAGCATCCTTGAGGAAAGGAGCTTGCTTCCAGACAAGGAGGTGGTTATGTGAAGAGGGCTGGAGCTGCTCAGTCTGACGCTGGGATAAATGAGCTGCCAACGCTGTAACTTCAGGCTTCCATCAGGTTTCTTAACCGGCTTCCTATGTTTCTCCTCTCTTGCTAGCTGAAAATCAGGAGCCTGCTGTATTTCTGTGGTTTCCAGACTCACAGAGGACAAGCTCATGTGAACACTCTGTCTTCCTGAGTGATGAGGAGAGCTACAGTGATACTCATTGCCCGCATCTGGGAAGAAAACAGGGAGCTTTTAGCTTCTGTGTAGTTCAGAGCAGTGTCGCGCTTGTATTACTCCCCCAGCAGCTTGTGTGCTCTGAAGTGAGGATCTTGCCTGAGTGAAGGAAAAAAATCTATACTTGGTCATTCTCTTGCAAGAGGAGAGAGGATGAACTTAAAAGGCAAACAGCTCTTGTTGACTTGTCTCAGAAATACGAGCAAAGGCCAAGCTGGAGTCTGGGCTTAGGTGATAACTGTAGGAAGAGGGAAGCTGCTTACTGCTGGAGGATATTCCTGCATCTCACATTGAGTTAAGGACCAACAAAGGGATCTCTCCTCGTTCTTGGCAGAAGGCTTTACCACTAAAATATTTCCCAGCTGTTCTTCAGTACTTTGATTTTCTTCTCTTCTGCTGCAGAGCTAGGAAGTAAGATGGGGTTGGGAGTTGCATGCTGCCCTGTGCCTTGATTCTCAGGGCAGTTGTTTCTTCAGCAGCTTGATGCTAGGAAATTCTTTCTCCAACATAACTCCCCTCCAAAAAATGAACAAACCCGACACTCCCCACAGGGTGGGGGTGGAAGGGGGGCTTTGAAAAGGATGTGGGTTTATTAAATTATTTTGAAAAAGATGAAGTTGGCCTTGGATCCCACTGACACTGGGTGTAAGGATGGATTCTCTCTTGCAAAGTTTCCTCTCCCTACTAAAAGCTGCCCCTATCAAAACTGTTAGGTTTTCCTTCTTGTAAAAGCTGCTCTTTAAAGCCATGATGGGCCTACAGTAAAGGGCTCTCCCAGGCAAAAAAAATCTCATCTAGGTGTAGAGAATTACATTAATAACCAGTGAAAAATAGATTTGTCATTTCTCTATCTTAAAAAAAAATATTAGGAAAAATTGGAAAATTGAAACTATCCAACAATGGAAGAGACCTGCATCCTGTGTCGGGCAGATAGCTGGTGGGCCTCTTGTTCTTGCTGTGGCACAGGGAGCGTGAGCCAAGCTCTTCCCTCTGCCTGGAAGGGCAGCTGTACAAAGCTCAGCGTGAAGGCTTGCTGGTCTGAGTCTGCTGTGAGACTGCAAGTCTTGGATTTGAGTCCATTTTACCTCCCCAAAAGCAGTTATGATAACTCGGTCTGTAGATTCTTCAGTTCTTTAGTGTTTTCACAAGTCCAGAGGACATTAAGTGTAGACTGAATCCTTCAGCAAACTCCGTAATAGCTCTGGATATTTTTATTTGCTTTCATGAAAGAAAGATTTTTTTTCATTAACTCAGCTTGATTCTGGTCATGACTTTGTAGTTGAGGAATGTATATAGGCCGTTGTCCACCTTTTAGACACATCTGACTAATACACAGAATTATCTTGGTAGGCTATTTGATAGTCCATTTGATAATTTCTTGTGGAGTGAGCACATCCAGAGTCTTGCCTTCATCATTGACACCTGTGGTCAGAATGCTAAGGAAGCAACTTCTTGCTCTGTAGTCTTGCTTGCTGTCTCCTTTTAATGAGTATCTGCACATTGGGAACTTGAAAATGTCTCTATACTGAAGACAATTTATTTTTACTGATGAGGTAACTATTACACAGAGCTCAATTTTTGATGAAGGACATCAGCAGGGGTTAGAGCAACCTTCATGGTATTGCTCTTAAAATGACTTCGGGCCACTTGCCATGCTGATGAGCTCATCTTTAGTGTTTCCTTGGTGTCCTCTGATCATCTGAGCTGGTGGCTGAAAAATACCGAGTCAGGCAGGACCCAAGAGGGGAAGTTTCTCGAGGCAGCGATGGGACCTGCTGTGCAGGCTTGCGTTTTCAGCTCCCTTCTGCTGCCTCCCCACTCCTCGCGACAGCAGGAAGCTGGGAAACTGGAAAGTGATGTGCTGAAGCAAGAAAGCTGTTTGGAAGCTTGGTGTCCTGCCGTGGCTGTGTAGGGTAGAGAAGGTGGGAACAGCGGGGAGGACCTGCCAGAAGTGCTTCAGGATGGCCCTCCAGCAGAGCAGCCTTGAGAGGACAGCTGTGTTCCCGTAGTGTTCTCTGACCTTGCCTAACCATGTAGCTTCTTGAGCACAAACATACCAATAATTTTTCCTTAGTGGCAAAGGCTGTAATGTGTAGGTAGCATCATCCCGTGGTGTGAGCAGGCTTTTCTGTGCATGTGTTGTGTTGACCAGCCAGCGCTCCCTCTGCGCTTGGAGGCGTGAGCAGCAAGCGCAGGACACGGTGGGACTTGGCCTCAGGGGAACTGCAGGGAAAAATCGGCCAGGGAGCTCCTTTCAGTTCATACCACCCGTGCCCATATAGCATTCCCTAAAGGCTGCTGTCTGGACAAGGTGAATTTTGTTGGTGATAGCAGCTGACAGCATGAGGGCCCCTCACTTGCCTTGTGCTGCGGGGATGCTGGAAGGAGTTGTCCTTACTGGCCATCGAGGGTTTGGAAGGCAGCAGATGTGGCATGCTTGGTTTGTTTACAGTGCTAATTTATTCAAATAAAGATTTTTTTCACAGCTTCTTAGAATAATATTCATGATCAAATTTGCCTGGTGATAGCTGTGGCATTCCACACTGAGGAGATCCGGTAACACAGTGTTTGCCAACAAAACCACCACCTTTCCGCGTAGACTGGTTTTAAGGTATTTGAACCTACTCCTTGCTTTGGCAGTCCATAGTTAACCACACCAGGAACCTTCTCCTGCTTGAGCTCTTTGTACAGCAGTACATTTAAAAGCTGCTATATCCTGCTTTTCATAACCTGGTGGTTTACACTTCTGATGAGCATTCA